TGAAGACAAGTGGTTTTTAATACTTGACGTGCTGTTGGAGTGTGAGCAAAGTAACATTTATGAAGGGGTTCAGGGAAACCGGCAGGCCGGACTTGAGTCCTGGAGATGGGAAGTACAGTGCCTGCACTCTGAAGGAGGGGTGTTAATGTTGCAGTTTAAAAACTGAAGTGTAAAGCACCCTTCTGGCAAGACAGTGATGGAGTGAATGATGGTGAAAGTTTTTCTTTTTCGGGCCACCCTGCCTTGGTGGGAATCGGCCAGTGTAATAATAAAAAATTAAAATAGTTCTTGTTCTTACTGCTTTTCCTTTTATACCCATGGGAAAGTGCAATAAGAATCTTTCTTCTGTAAGCCATGTGTGTTGTAGAACTCAACTAAAATGCTGGGAACAATGGGCTGGTAACCCCTTTTCCTGTATAGCCTACCAAAAAGAAAAAGAAAACCGCTATAGTGCGATGTTTGAATGTGCGTAGATGTTGTGTGAATGATAAGAAAGAGATGATTGTGGATGTTATGAATGAGAAGCAGCTGGATGTCCTGGCTTTCAGTGAAACAAAGCTGAAGGGGGTATGAGGAATCGTATAAACAAATTTTTGGATAAAATTTTAACTATCCGTATTAGTGAAGCACCAAAACGTGGGGCTTTCCTGTAATTTAATAGCACCCAACCAATCTAAAGACAGCCTAAATTTAAATAGAATTATTTAACACCAATAATAGATTTGTTCATGCTCAGACTGATTTTTTTCTGAGTTATTGCAACAGTTAATTTACACAGTTGAAATGACCTGAGATCAGATGACTACTGGAATTTAATCTTAGCAAAAGCAAAATTATGAAGCCAAGAGAGGGGACGAAAAGGAGAGGAAAAAACAGAGCATCTAGGGGCAAAAAACACACACACACACACACACACACACTGAAAAATGTCAAAGGAAATGACTGGGAAATAACCAATACCCCAAAACTGTCTCCTGAGGAACAAAATACCTTAGACAACATATGCCAGCTTGCAAAAGCAAATGATGATTACAGGAACAATTTACAGCTTAAATGTATACAGTAGACAAAGACAAAAAAGAATAAAAAGCCACAATACCATGGCTGGAACAATATATGAATAACCTGCAGTAGTGACTTGATAATGAACCAGAATGGACCAAAACATTGTCATGAGTTTCCTCTTCTAAGACAAACACAGATTCTTTAACATGAAAGTTAATGAAACAAAGAAACACAGTGGAAACCAAACCTTCAAATGATTCACACGATACATTGACATGGATACATTCAATAGATAAAATGATCACCAAGCAAGTAAGCAAACCCTATTTTCCACATGCATATATCTGTGACCAGGTTCAAGAATCTTCCTGCTCTCACAGTGTGGCTGGGCCAGGCTTTTTAGGTGGCTGCCTGGTCAACCAGGCCGTTGCTGTTGGTGGCAAGCTGTCCCACATACCCATCAGAGCCTGGGTAATCTGGCATTCTGGCATTTGGTAAGAGTTTTAGAGGCTTGAGAATCCAACAGGTTTATGTGAGTGCTTGAGACAGGTAAATGGAGACAAGCGGTTTTTAACAGTTGAGCTGTTGGAGTGTGAGAACGGTAACTTTTATGAAGGGATTCAGGGTAACTGGTAAGCCTGACTTGAGTCCTGGAGGTGAGAAGGGCAGTGCTTGCACTCTGAAGATGGAGTGGAAAGTTCCAGTCAAAATAATGTTATTCAGTTTCCTGTCAAAGACATTTTTTTTTTTTTAACAAACCGGCCATATCCCACCAAGGGAGGTGACCTAAAAAGAAAAACAAAAGTTTCTCTTTTTAAATTTAGTAATTTATACAGGAGAAGGGATTACTAGCCCTTTGCTCCCATCATTTTAGTCGCCTCGTACGAAACGCATGGCTTACAGAGGAAGAATTCTGTTCCAATTCCCCATTGAGAACATCTATGCTAGTTTCAGCAATATTTCTGTTATTTGCTGGTAGTAGGTTGAATAACCGAGGTCCATGGATGTTAATGCAGTATCCTCTAATTGCGCCCATGGCACCCCTGCTTTTCAATGGGCTCATCTTATACTTCCTCCCATACGTCTCACCTCAGTGTTAAGACAGTGTGTAGGTTAGAGACTAGACTCTTCAGTATCTTCCATGTATATATTATCATGCATCCCCCCCCTGCTCCAAAGTACATATTCCAAAATTTATATACTTTATTGGCTCTTTGAAGATAGTAAACAATCTGACTCTGTTCCAGCTCTGATATTTCTCCTACCTTCAATGGAGCCATCAACACCATCAACTGATTTGAGTGGTATCACCACTGGCATTATTTCTCATTCTGAAAATTATCATTACCCATTCTGACATTTTCCTGGGTTATGCAACATATGTCTTAATGTGTTCTCTGAACAATAGGTCAGCTGACATTAATATACCAAGTCTTTCACATGTTCCTTCTGTTCTTTTAGGGGATTATCCAGAGTTTTGTATATGGTGCCCCTTATTGAGTTCTTTGGTTTTCTATACCTGAGCAGTTGGAATTTTTTCCTGTTGAATACAATGTTGTTTTCTACAGCCCACTTTAGGACTTTGATTACTGTATTTTACAGCAAACAAGATGCTCCAGTGTTGAGGATGCTCCCTCAATTCTGATTGGCTAAATTTAAAAAAAAAAAAAAAAAAAAAAAAAAGATAAATGGTACTTCAGCCTCCAAGACACTGAGTAAATTTTCAAGACTTATTTTGTGAAAAAAAAAAAAATAAGTGTCCTCGACACTGTAAAGTCTGGTATTTCCCGTTGCAATTTTTGATCTTCTACTGAAGTGACTTTCACACTTTTTTTGCCGATCTTTGTTTGATGATACAAAACTGTGAGGGGTTTTTTTTTTATTTTTTTCCTTTGCTATGAGGAAAAGAAACAGCAGGGTCCCAAAGGGGGAAGGAGTAGGGTTGGTCTATGATCTGAGGTGCTTTTGGAGTGTCCCCCAAAGTAATTTAAACCCTGGAGGTGGGAGTAAAAACCCAAAACCACTCTGAAGGAGAAGTGGTTATATTTGGTTTGGAGGGACATCTGAGGGATATCAGCCACTTTGGAAAAGACAGTGATTGAATGAGTAGCAGAAAACCCTTTTTCTGTTTTGTTGGGTCCCCCACCAGGGGGATACCTTTCCCCTTTTTACTCCCGGAGCCCACCCTTGGGCCGGGCTTTACTGCTTTTTGGCTCCCAGGCTGTTGCTGGCCCATGCCCCCAATAGCCATCACAGCCGGTTATTGGTACCTAGAAGATCTTGTCAGTTTCCCTTGGGGAAAACTTTTACTTCTACTGGAGATGTGTTGAAAAAAAAGATAGAAAAAACGGGGCAATGCGGCAGATGTTGCCAGGTTGGAAAAGTGAAGGGTTCAAAAGGCTGAAGATTTTTATAAGGTAGCAAGTCTCAGTAAGGGGTATTTAGGAAAGGGGTACTATTTCCCAGTGAAAATAAACTTAGACAGGGATGAATGATCTCATGGTTGTTTAACATACTTAAAGATCTTTCTTTCTTTCTTTCAATGTACAGGCCGTATCCCACCGAAGCAGGGTGGCTCAAAAAGAAAAATGAAAGTTTCTCTTTACAAATTTAGTAATGTATACAGGAGAAGGGAATATTTATAGATGTGGGATATAAAAGAAGTGAATGCCAGAGTGTTGGCAAGAGGAGTGTGATTAAAAGATGATAAATCTGATTGAAAGTTTGAGTGGTCACAGTAGCTCTCTGTCAAGGACAGTTCTTTCATACATTTTTTTTTTTTTAACACTGGCCATCTCCCACCAAGGTAGGATGACCCAAACAAGAAGAAACACTTTCCCCAACACTCACTCATCACTGTCTTGCCAGTGGCAATGCTGGTACTATAATTCAGATGCCTCCAAACTGCAAATATCCTCACCCCTCCTTCAGAGCACAGACACTGTATTTCCCATCTCCAGGACTCAAAGTCAAGCTAACTGGGTTCCCTGAATCCTTTCATAAATGTTACTTTGCTTACACTCCAACAACACATCATAAAAACCACTTGCCTCCACTCGCTCCTATCTAAAATGCTCATAAGCCTGCTGGATGTCCAAGCTCCTTGCATACAAAACCACCAACCATTCATTAGATGACCCCTACCCTGCCTTCCCTCCACGACAGATTTATACACCCTCCAAGTCATCCTATTTTGCTCCGCCCTCTCTAAATGTCCAAAGCACCTCAACAGCTTCTCCTCAGCCCTTTGGATAATACTTTTAGTAACCTGGTACCTCCTACTAATCTCCAAACAACATTTCCACTACCTCCAGCCTCCTCCTCACTGCAACATTCAAAACCCATATAGGAGTGTTTGTATCATTAAACTGTCATACATTCCTTTTTTGCCTCCATGGATAATGTTATTTGTCTCCATATATACCTCAATGCACCAGCCACCTTTTTTCCCCTCATCAATTCTATGGTTCATCTCGTCTTTCATCATAGACCCATTTGCTGACATGTCCATTCCCATATCTGAATGCATTCACTTCCTCCATACTCCCTCCTTCCAATCTGATATCCAGTCTTTCATTACCTGAATTATTTGTTACCCTCACCACCATGCTCTTGCTGGTATTCATTTTTAATTTACTTCTTTTATATACCTTCCCAAATTCATCTACCAACTTTTAAAACTTCTCTTCAGAATCTCCCAAAAACATAGACAGCAAAAATCAACGGTGACAACTCCCACTTTATATTAAATTTTATATATTTTAATCCCACACTTCTTCCCAACACCCTAGCATTCAGTTCTTTTACAACCCCATCTATAAATATGTTATACAACCATGATGACATTATGCATCCCTGTCTAAGGATTATTTTTACTGGAAAATAATCTCTTTCCTACACACATCCTATTCTGAGCCTCACTCTCCTCATAAAAACTCCTAACAGCATATATGCATGTATGTATATATATATTATGGAGTACCACAAATACATACTGTTCAGAAGGTGGTCTAACAGCAGCAGCTGCAGAGGTAGTGGAACCAGACGAGCAAGTGGTAGTTGAGGCAGATTGTTTCTGAATTAATGGTACACCCATTGGAGTACCATTATCCAGTTGAGCTGTTGATGAAGAAGAATCTGTTCCTCCCAAGTCAGAGCCCTTAGCCTGGTCCCCAGATGATCTATAAGATGAACTTCCAACCCTGGACTCATGCTCTGATGCTGGCCTCGAAACATAACCACTACTGTCAGCACTTGGAGTTGTACCATTTTCTTCACCTTTGTCCTAAGAGGATACATTAAAACTTTAGCAAAAGCATCTACAATGTTTTTTTTTATGATTTTGTGGAAGCTGCTACCCTGCATACCTAAAAACAAAGCAGTACAGTACTTAGTTCATTTATGAATTATGAATTACAGCTACATTTAAACTTTTTTGTATGTCTGTTACATTCCAGTGAAACACTTTGACAAGATTTTTTTTTTTTATTTTGTCACCAGCTACGAATAGGCTTCAATTTGTCAAACATTTGCAAGTTTTTTCTTTAAACAACTACCCACATCTTATGGATCTTTACATTTTTCTATTACTGTCATTTCCTATATAATCTCTATTATCACTCACATTCAAGCAAATAGCAGAAATGCAGTTTGCATAATATAACATTGTTCTGTGCGAATTTCATATGTATATCAAGTAAAATAAATGTTTGGAATATGTTAGCCATTTCAATCATATGAACTTACAATATCTGAGTTGGCAGAGTGCCACTTTTGCTGAATTTCACCAATTGTGAGAGCCTTTAAGAAACAAGGGCTCTACCCACACCCCAACCTTAACTCTGACTTTCTCTTTTTCCCAGAAAACCATGTGTTTTATTCCATATATTGGATAGGATTGTGCTGAGGGGTACCCTCATGCCTCTTTCCCTTAACTGAGGGAGAGAGGCATGAGGATCCAAATCACTCAATCAAATAGTCCCCTCCCTCCTCACATATCCAATTACCATGTGCTGGAAGGGACATAGCAGTCAGTGCATTTCCTAAAGACATTCACCATTTCCTGGAGACTTCATCCTATTTTTGGGGGAGTCTTCTAGGAGCACTCAGCCCCAGCTCCTACATATCCAAGTCCATTAACAAATGAGTCGGGATGACACAGTTCTCTTGATTTGGGGAATTCAGGGGAGAGGGAAGAAGGCTCTCGAAGGAGGGGCTCACCTTGCTATAGAATCTCTGATGAGATGATCGGGATCCAGCAGAAGCACCATCTTCTTCCTCACCAAGCTCTGACTCATGGTTCACTCCAGCATCTTCTGATACACCATTGTAGCCCTTTTGGGCATACTGTAAGAGAAAAAGACTTTTATATCCTTCAATACCATACTCATCTAATTTGTCCTACTAAAAACATGAGAAACTGACTATGGAAAATAGAAAAATAGAAATAATTTGCAATCAATGAATACACAAATGCACATCCAAATAATAGGTGCATGAGTCACAGTTATAAAAGTAATTTCCGAGCCAAGGATAAAATACACTAGGAAGAATGGAGTCTGTGCGATAACAAGAAAATTGAATATTTTCTATCTAAACTTGAGTTTTGAAATGAAATACAGGGAGAGGAGACCAGAAAGCTAGATAAATATGTTCTCCAACTTTCAACTTTTTTAGCACAGTACAAATCCAAAAACAATTGGATCAGCTGGCAATACTGATTACATACATTACAGCCAAAAATAGAATACCATGTGTAAATTCTATGCATAAACTTTTGCAAACAGAATGTCTAAAAAAACAAATGGAACATGCACACTGGTCATGTTTGAGCTCAATGTGTGATAAATATTGTACTGTGAATTCTGAGTTTGGAGATAAGGAGGTTGTACAGTTACCTAGAGTATTATTCAGAGAGCCGAGAAAAGGTTTTTGAGGGGGTTTGGACATTTAGAGAGAATGGAGAAAAATAGGATGACTAGGAGGGTGTATAAATACTAAGGGGTAAGGATTATCCTAGAAAAAATTGAATAATCATCAGGTAACCTTCACGAGTGAAATTTTAAGCCTTGGAGGGTCAAGACCCTTGATCCTGATCTCCCACTCAGGATATATATGGCAGAGAGCATGTACAGTTCCTTTATATAAAGGGAAGGGGGACAAAAGAGATTGTAAAAATTATAGAGGAATAAGTTTACTGAGTATACCAGGAAAAGTGTATGGTAGGGTTATTACTGAAAGAATTAGAGGCAAGACAGAATGTAGGATTGCAGATGAGCAAGGAGGTTTTAGAGTGGGTAGGGGATGTGTAGATCAAGTGTTTACATTGAAGTATATATGTGAACAATATTTAGATAAAGGTAGGGAAGTTTTCATTGCATTTATGGATTTAGAAAAAGCATACGATAGAGTGGATAGGGGAGCAATGTGGCAGATGTTGCAAGTACAGTGGACCCTCGACCAACGTTGGCATCGTCTAACGTTAAATCTGACTAGTGATACATTTTAACGCAAAAATTTTGCCTTGACTAGCGCTAAAAAACCCGACCAATGCTATTCATTCTGTTCGACACGTGTCCACTTATGGCCTGAGTGCGCCTCACTTCTCCCGTGGGTGCCAGTGTTTAAAAGCCAGCCAGCCACCGCGGTCCCATCCAAACATACAATTGGAACATTTCATATTATCACAGCGTTTGTAGTGATTGCACCTGCAAAATAAGACACCATGGGCCCCAAGAAAGCTTCTAGTGCCAACCCTACAGCAAAAAGGGTGAGAATTACTAGGGATATGAAGAAAGAGATCATTGCTAAGTATGAAAGTGGAGTGCGTGTCTCCGAGCTGGCCAGGTTGTACACAAAACCCCAATCAACCATCGCTACTATTGTGGGCAAGAAAACGGCAATCAAGGAACCTGTTCTTGTCAAAGGTGCAACTATGTTTTCGAACCAAAGATCGCAAGTGATAGAAGATGTTGAGAGACTGTTATTGGTGTGGATAAACGAAAAACAGATAGCATCTCTCAAGCGATCATATGTGAAAAGGCTAGGAAGTTGCATGATGATTTAATTAAAAAAATGCCAGCAACTAGTGATGATGTGAGTGAATTTAAGGCCAGCAAAGGTTGGTTTGAAAGATTTAAGAATCGTAGTGGCATACATAGTGTGATAAGGCATGGTGAGGCTGCCAGTTCGGACCACAAAGCGGCTGAAAAATATGTGCAGGAATTCAAGGAGTACATAGACAGTGAAGGACTGAAACCTGAACAAGTGTTTAATTGTGATGAAACAGGCCTGTTTTGGAAGAAAATACCAAGCAGGACCTACATTACTCAAGAGGAAAAGGCACTCCCAGGACATAAGCCTATGAAAGACAGGCTTACTCTGTTAATGTGTGCTAATGCTAGTGGTGATTGCAAAGTGAAGCCTTTATTGGTGTATCACTCTGAAACTCCCAGTGTGTTCAGGAAACTTCAAGAAACTGTACACAAAAGCTATGTTTGAATGGTGCTTTGTAGTGGCCTCAGAAACTCAACTGACTCTAAGAGAGTTTTGGAGAGATCACTTTAGCATCCTCAATTGTGTAAACATTATAGGTAAGGCTTGGGAGGAAGTGACTAAGAGGATCTTGAACTCTGCTTGGAAAAAAAACTGTGGCCAGAATGTGAAGACAAAAGGGATTTTGAAGGGTTTGAGGCTAACCCTGGGAATCCTATACCAGTTGAGGAATCCATTGTAGGTAGTAGGTTGGTAGACAGCAACCACCCAGGGAAGTACTACCGTCCTGCCAGATGACTGTGAAACAGAAACCTGTAACTGTTTTGCATGATGGTAGGATTGCTGGTTTCTTTTTCTGTCTCATAAACACGCTAGATAACAGGGATATCTTGCTACTCCTACTTACACTTTGGTCACACTTCACAGACATGCACATGCATATATATATACATACATCTAGGTTTTTCTCCTTTTTCTAAATAGCTCTTGTTCTTCTTTATTTCTTCTATTGTCCATGGGGAAGTGGAAAAGAATCTTTCCTCCGTAAGCCATGCATGTCGTATGCGGCGACTAAAATGCCGAGAGCGATGGGCTAGTAACCCCTTCTCCTGTAGACATTTACTAAAAAAGAGAAGAAAAACTTTATAAAACTGGGATGCTTGAATGTGTGTGGATGTAGTGTGGATGACAAGAAACAGATGATTGCTGATGTTATGAAGGAAAAGAAGTTGGATGTCCTGGCCCTAAGCGAAACAAAGCTGAAGGGGGTAGGGGAGTTTAGGTGGGGGGAAATAGATGGGATTAAATCTGGAGTATCTGAGAGAGTTAGAGCTAAGGAAGGGGTAGCAGTAATGTTGAAGGATCAGTTATGGAAGGAGAAAAGAGAATATGAATGTGTAAATTCAAGAATTATGTGGATTAAAGTAAAGGTTGGATGCAAAAAGTGGGTCATAATAAGCGTGTATGCACCTGGAGAAGAGAGGAATGTAGAGGAGAGAGAGAGATTTTGGGAGATGTTAAGTGAATGTATAGGAGCCTTTGAACCAAGTGAGAGAGTAATTGTGGTAGGGGACCTGAATGCTAAAGTAGGAGAAACTTTTAGAGAGGGTGTGGCAGGTAAGTTTGGGGTGCCAGGTGTAAATGATAATGGGAGCCCTCTGATTGAACTTTGTATAGAAAGGGGTTTAGTTATAGGTAATACATATTTTAAGAAAAAGAGGATAAATAAGTATACAAGATATGATGTAGGGCAAAATGACAGTAGTTTGTTGGATTATGTATTGGTAGATAAAAGACTGTTGATTAGACTTCAGGATGTACATGTTTATAGAGGGGCCACAGATATATCAATCACTTTCTAGTTGTAGCTACACTGAGAGTAAAAGGTAGATGGGATACAAGGAGAATAGAAGCATCAGGGAAGAGAGAGGTGAAGGTTTGTAAACTAAAAGAGGAGGCAGTTAGGGTAAGATATAAACAGCTATTGGAGGACAGATGGGCTAATGAGAGTGTGGCATGCAAAGAGTACGTAACCTATATTCGGCGCATGTACACACCCTCATTTACAGGCTATCTCCCCCAACCAGCGAACCAGGTTGCTAAGAGTTGATGATGGGGCCCCGTCGTTCAACTAGTGACCAGGTTCTAGCCAATAAGAAGATGGTTTTGGCAATCGCAGAGGTTATGTGGGTACCACTCTCCTGTCTGCCCTTGTCATTCCCATTCTAGAGCTGGTTGAAGCATGGTCTGTTATCTTGTGGCTTCTATTTCTGCCTTGCTTACAGTGGAGTGCACTATACTTATCACTGTACATAGTGTACATATTGCTGTTCTAAATTGGTGAAGGATAATTTAAGTCTAAACTGTTTCTGCTGTGTTTATTTTGCTCCCATTACACCCGGGATAACAGGCCATGGGGTCGAAGAGGTATGGGGTAGGTTTAAAAATGTAGTGTTAGAGTGTTCAGCAGAAGTTTGTGGTTACAGGAAAGTGGGTGCAGGAGGGAAGAGGAGCGATTGGTGGAATGATGATGTAAAGAGAGTAGTAAGGGAGAAAAAGTTAGCATATGAGAAGTTTTTACAAAGTAGAAGTGATGCAAGGAAGGAAGAGTATATGGAGAAAAAGAGAGAGGTTAAGAGAGTGGTGAAACAATGTAAAAAGAGAGCAAATGAGAGAGTGGGTGAGATGTTATCAACAAATTTTGTTGAAAATAAGAAAAAGTTTTGGAGTGAGATTAACAAGTTAAGGAAGCCTAGAGAACAAATGGATTTGTCAGTTAAAAATAGGAGAGGAGAGTTATTAAATGGAGAGTTAGAGGTATTGGGAAGATGGAGGGAATATTTTGAGGAATTGTTAAATGTTGATGAAGATAGGGAAGCTGTGATTTCGTGTATAGGGCAAGGAGGAATAACATCTTGTAGGAGTGAGGAAGAGCCAGTTGTGAGTGTGGGGGGAGTTCGTGAGGCAGTAGGTAAAATGAAAGGGTGTAAGGCAGCCGGGATTGATGGGATAAAGATAGAAATGTTAAAATCAGGTGGGGATATAGTTTTGGAGTGGTTGGTGCAATTATTTAATAAATGTATGGAAGAGGGTAAGGTACCTAGGGATTGACAGAGAGCATGCATAGTTCCTTTGCATAAGGGAACAAAAGAGAGTGCAAAAATTATAGGGGGATAAGTCTGTTGAGTATACCTGGTAAAGTGTATGGTAGAGTTATTATTGAAAGAATTAAGAGTAAGACGGAGAATAGGATAGCAGATGAACAAGGAGACTTTAGGAAAGGTAGGGGGTGTGTGGACCAGATGTTTACAGTGAAACATATAAGTGAACATTATTTAGATAAGGCTAAAGAG